GAGGTGAAGCTCGACCAAACACTAACATATGTGAAAGCGCCAGTTCTTGAGTTCGGAAATCTTAATTGTCCAGAAGACTTAACTTTAAGATTTGACTTAAGTTTTCTTAACACTATTGAAAGGGCACGGGCCCGGAGCTTTCAGTGAAAAACATGATAAGTTGATACACTTTTTTTTTAATTAATTTAAACAAAAATATTTGGAGTCGTGAGGGTTCCGGGACATATTTAGTACCGGGTCCGGACTTTCTCTTGGTAGCCCTGCACATACATATGTAATACATGATAATTAAATTTTGAAAGCCGTCCAGAATCTTAATTATTTCAAGAACAAATTACTTAAGAATTCTGAGCGTCCACTGCCATTTCCCGATATGAAATATATGGAAAACTTCAAAGCCCTGGCGGTACGGTTATATTTTAACCGATTCTTCTTATCTTTTAATCAAAATAATTATCTTATTTTTATCAAAAATAATCTTCAGTTCTGGGCTGGGAAAAAATTTGAACCACCCTAATGCACATGGTATACTATATCTACTATTTAGGTGCATATATATGTATGCGTATGAATAAAAACAATTGGAACGATTTATAGTCACTTGTATTGTTTAAGGCCATTTCTTCCTTACTGATTTCTATGGCTTAATTGCTTCGGGCATCCCTTTATGCTGATTTCTACAGTCCGACCAATTAATCGGCATCGGCATCGGCTAGTATCGGCACAGAATTGAGCACCGGCATCGGCATCGGCGTTTTTTCGCCGATTCTTTACCGAATCTTTGGAACCGACAGCCAGCATTATAAAACATTTGCAGACAGCTCACAAAAATGTTTTTTTTTTTTGGTTGAAGGCGTTTCACGTTTTTCCATACAAAAGTATGTTTGAAAATTTCCTTTTATATGGAGAACACTGAAAGGAAAAAATATTGCAAAAAATTAACGGGATCTTATAGCAGTTTGAAACTTGCACTTCATTATACTAGAATTAAATGGTCTACAAAACTGCATACCAAAATTCTGATTAAAAAGTTTGAAATTTTGGTGAAAATAAGCAGAAATTTTCTAACATACCTAGCATATAAGTTCTTATGCATTGAATGCAAAATAGTGTATTTTGGTACAAAACGAAATTAAATTTTATTTTCCTAAAAGTGAAAGTACATAGCGTCCATTGCGTCACCGTCACCGTCAGTTATCAAAATAGTTGAACTGGTGTATTTGTATGAAGGAAGTTACATGAACAAAACCGACGGTGACGGTGGCGCACAAATTAGCTAAACTTTCAGCTTTGCTTATGCGTCTGCGTCAAGTGCCAACTATTCTGTGTTTTGTTTACATATTTGAACCAAAAATTTTTCAGTTTGTGAAAATTTTTAAATTTATTTAAATAACAAATGTAAAATAGGATGAAAGAAAAGTAAAAACGTAATTTTTGCAAAGAGCAACAGTGAGTTTTTGATTTTACGCCACATAAGCACCGTTGACGCTGGTAATGAGGGTGACTGACGGGGTCGGTGACGCAATGGACGTTGTGTACTTTCGGTTTAAATATTTCTTGCTTAGCACCAAATCAAAAAGTGTTTTATGTAATTTACATACATAAATGTGATATATGTACATATATTTTTACATATACATTAGCGTGGGCCGGAAATCCGCTTTTTTAGAATTTTGATTGGTAATAGCAAAAATATGGTTCACTATGCTCTAAAAACAATCTGTGTGAAATATGACAATTTTCGGTCAATATCTTAGGCTCGCCCAATCAAAGTTCAATATGGCCAAAAAATAAAAATTAACTAATAAATTAAGTAATACATTTTTTACTAAAATTGCAATAAACTTTACCTTTTTGTAGAGAATCGAAGTTAGCTAAAAAAAAAATTTTTTTAGTACTTGAACTTTGATGGACTTGGGCGAGCCTAGGATATGGACCAAAAACTTTCACATTTCACACAGATATTTTTTAGAGCATAATGAACCATATTTTTGCTATTACCAATCAAAATTCTAAAAAAGCGGATTTTCGGCCCACGCTAATATACATATATGTATATATATGTACATACATGTGTATGAAATGTTGCATAACAAGCCAATTAATTAAATTATTATTTTTTTCTTTTGTTTTGTTAACTCCGTTTAAATTAACTGATTTTATAAATTAATACATTTATTAGTAATTTTTTATGGAATCGGTATCGGAATCGGCATCGGCATTGGTACCTTAAAAAAAATTGGAATCGGTCGCAATCTACTGATTTCAAATATAGCGTTCATATTAATATTAACAGATTTTTTATAAAATAAATTAACCTTTGGAGTAATCGTTTCGAAAGTACGTACAATATGCAGAACGTTTCTTTCATTTGCAACCCATATTCCAAAGAATGAAGGTTGAAGGTCAACTAAAACTATGTTTGACCTTCCTTTGACACACTTTTGGCCTCTCACTCTTAGTTCCTATTTCTTTGAAATCGTTTTCATTAATTTTAACATTTTTGTAATTAAAAAAGGTGTTTCAATTTAATACAAATAACACGAAGTAACAAAAATCAAAAAAATTAACGAACTTTTTAGCAACCTGGGAAAATAAGTAAGCACCTTACAAGGTAATCTATGTTTTCTTTCAGCTTTTAGTATCAAAAATTATCATCATGACCAATGTCATCTACTAGTAAAGCACAAAATGAACACCTCCGATGACGCCTTTTCAACATAGATTGATTAAAAGAAAAATACTGATAAAAATAAATTATTTCACACAAACAGGGTTAAAATTTTGAAATTCCGGCCCATAATTTGTTTGTAAGTCAAATATTAGTGGCATTGTGCTACTATGATTGCACGGCCGAGTAACCATAGTCAACTTATGTACAGTAGTCGAAAAAATTATAGCCGCACCAAATTTTGACAAGTTTTAAAATATTTCTTTGGTTGTTATTTAATTTTGTTTAGTTTTTTATAGTTCATTCTTTACCAACATCCATACTAATACAAGTTTAAAGGCAGTGTCACACGATTGGGAATTTGCCCAAATTTGGTGCGAATCGTTTCCCAATTGTGTGAATAACCAAATATTTCTCTATATAATAATAATAGATTGGCCGAGCTTCTCCTCCGATTTGTGGCGTGCAAGTTTCAAATGGCTAAAAACTACGGTGGAATTTTTAGAATTTTTAAAAAAGCTTGAAATTTGTACAAAAGTTTGTGGAATTTTTTTAATATTGCACAAAGTTGGTAACTTGTATTTACACGGGTTTTGTTAAAAAAAAAGATTAACCAAAATTAAATAACAACAAAAATGATACGTTAAACCTTGGAAAAAAGTGTCAGCACAAGGGTTGCCAACCATACTATAATATATAGTATTGTACTATTTTTTGGGTCTGCGTACTATATATTGTTTCAAAAAAATATAGTATGCAAAAATACTATATTTCTTCAATTATAAATATAAATATATTTCAGTCATTTGTAAGAAAGAAATGTTTTAAAATGGATGACATTTATACTGAAATATTAATATTTAAAAAATATACTTTTAAACAAAGAGTCCACAGATCGAAAATGGCAACATTTTTAAAAATACTGAGAAAGATTTACCAAATTTACTAAAAATTATTTCGCTTATGCTTTCTATTCTTGCAACTTCGGCATTCACAGAAAGAGTTTTTTCTATTAAGATTTTGAAATGGTGAGATGCGAGAAATAAAGCGAATATCTCACTAATAAAAAATTAACTTTTGATTTATACTAATTTAAACATTGGTAGCTAAAGCATATGATACTTTCAAAGAAATATATTTTTTATAGAGGAAATGTTTTAAATCATTTCAAAAGTCCATCAATCCTCTTTTCAAAACATGTTCGGATTTTAAAATCAGATGAAAAATATTCAAGCTGTTAATAGATAAGTGCAAAAAGTACGAACACAACGGTTGTTTTGAAAAAAAGGGAAGGTTCAGGAATTTACGGCACCTATTTTCATATTGTACTCGACCATAGCTTCAAACTACACTAATTTTTGTTTCGGGTGTATTTCATGACTTTTGTCTGTAGCACTGTGTAATTTTTATAAAATAATTTAATTTCCCTTATGTTCCCACACGCGAACATTCTTGCGAATATATTTACTACGAGAAATACCCAAATGTACAACCCACTGTAGGTAAATCAAAACTTGTTGAAAATTGAAATTCTAGCGCATCAAATCGCTAAAGCTTGCGAAAGCAATCACCCGCCCAACGGCCAACTAGACAACGCAACCGGCGAATGTGCAGCTACAAATACCGATAGCGCTAGGTCATCATACACACACATAAATTGGCAATTATTATACATGAGCGAATTTTCTAAATGCCTTAAAATTAGCCAACATAAGTCAGCCCACACAAGGAATAAATTATTTTCTCTTCTTTTTTTTGCTGTTTGGTATCTGACAGAATTGGGTGCTGCATGTCCGCACAACTATCAAAAAAAAACCTGCGAAGAAGACCCCTGTAAAGCAGTTATCACAAACCCAAATGCGCGCGCCATTCAAGACCAAGTAGGCTGTTCGAAGGGCACATTGTAGCTAGGGCAATATTCCGTAAGCACTCACTCGGAAGTTTGAATAAAATTTGCCTCCTTGAAAAAATATTGAAAATTGATGAAAGACAAGAACCTTTTTCCGTTGCTCCATTGAGCCAGTGTTAAACATCTTTGGAATATTCAATTTGTCCTATGGTCAAATTGAATTATGCTCCAGTTGAAGTTCCACGCTTATGCGCAAGTATATATGTATGTATGTGTAAGTGTGCTGGAGGCGGCGCTGTCCGTTAGCTTTGTGGTTTCTGCTCGTGAAGGGGTTGAGTTGAGTTTGAGAGTTTGAAGCATCTGGGTTGAAAGCAATGAGCAACAGTAGCTCCATTGAATTGGAAAATTGAAAACCAAAATATTTATTTCCTAACATAACTGACTTCTTGTAATTTTTATCTATACGCTGTTTCTTTGCAGGGAAAACAAGTGAGTGTCGCGAAGATACCGAATGTGGGGAGCAATTGAAGCGATGTGTGCTGCCAACGAAGAGCGGGGGTAAAAAGCGTCGGCTGGAGGTTGATGCAGCGGCAGGCGAAGTACTCAACCTAGCACGACAATCACCAAAGAAGCCAACGCGATCGCCAAGCCGCTCCGCAACGCCAGAAAACTTTGCCGCGAGGAACGCTGAAAATCAGCATCCACAGCTGTCCGAGAGTACCTCCAACCTATTTGCTGCACTCCAGGGTCCACTCGCACCGTTACTGCTGCAAAATCATCTTGGTATTGCGTCCCCCAGCCTTGGCGCCACTGAGATCCAGCAAGCTTTCCAGCTGCAGCTGCAAAGTTATGTTGAGATGATGCGCCAGGTAACGCCGGATAACTTTCAAAATCCCACTTCATCACATTTTCTGCTACAAAACTCGCTGCAAGCAATGGCGCAGTTTCAAGCATTGCAACAATTGAAGCAGCAGCAACAGTTGCAGCAAGAACTCCAGCAGCGTTTCGAAGGTGATGAACAGACGGCGGGCCGTAAACCGCATGGCACGCCAGTCAGGGAATCAAAGCACTTTTCCACACCTTTGGCATCATCACCACTGCGCAGTCCCTCGCTGAGTCCAGTATGTCGGCATAACCACTCCAAAGCCTACAATCACACGCACGATGAACAAGAGAGTGGCGAAAATACTTCACAACAGACCACACCACCCAATTCGGCCGTCGGTCTGCAAATGGGCAGCGCCATTTTAACGCCAAACACACCCGGCATGTCTTCCATATTCCCCAGTTCGCTGCCCGGCTCCACAGCCATGAGTTTCAGTAGTACGCCACAAAACTGCAAAGCTTTAGGAGCGAATGCGCTATCCGCCGCCGCCGCCGCCGCTCGCAGTCTCGACCAATCGCCCGAAGAGACGACCGACCTCGAAGAATTGGAGCAGTTTGCCAAAACGTTTAAACAACGCCGCATAAAACTCGGCTTCACGCAAGGCGATGTCGGTTTAGCCATGGGCAAGCTTTACGGCAATGATTTCTCGCAAACCACAATCTCCCGATTTGAGGCGCTCAACCTCAGCTTCAAAAACATGTGTAAGCTGAAACCGCTGCTGCAAAAGTGGCTGGAGGATGCCGACAATACAATCACAAAGACAGGCGGCGTTTTCTCGCTCAGCTCGATGACCACAACGCTCACCACACCGGAAAATATAATCGGACGCCGTCGCAAGAAACGCACCTCCATCGAAACGAACGTGCGCAGCTCGCTCGAAAAGGCGTTCATGGTCAACTGCAAACCCACCTCGGAGGATATAAACAATTTGGCGGAAAGGCTGAATATGGACAAGGAAGTGGTGCGCGTGTGGTTCTGCAATCGGCGGCAGAAGGAGAAACGCATCAATCCCGCCATGGATCTGGACAGCCCAACGGGTACGCCGCTCAGCAGCCATATATTCGGCTTTCCAGCGCAAGCGCTCAGCATGTCGAACAGCCACGAGGCCTCTTCGATGTGTGGCAGCTCTATCAGCTCGCTATCGCCGCACTGTATTAGCGGTAAGCAGGAATGATCCAACGATTACCGAGATATGACGCGAAAAATGTTATATCGAGAAATGCACGCACCCAGCCTGCCGTGTCTACAGCAGCAATACTCGTCGCTGAAATATGCCGACCGTGCATCACAAGCGCTACACGAATGCCGGCGCGAGCTGCCCAGGATTTGGCACTTTTGCGAGAAACCGATTTGTAAAATGTCCGCGTTCGAAACGTATTCGCATTGCACGGAGCTACTTTAAACATATTCATCTTGAATGTACGAGTACTTAAGATAAATACATACATAAGTGTATATACATATTTTATAGTAGAAATTATGTAAGTAGGTATTGTATGCGTAGTAATGTATTGTAGCATTTAAATAGTTTACAAAAATATCTATCTCATGACCATATCAATACAGACAACAGACAAAGCCATAATCTAATTATAATTATTTAAAAAAATTACAAGCTCCAAATGTGTATTTTTAAATGTGTATATGTATAGTATTAGTTATAATGCATACATATGTATAACCCCATGTATTGTATTTGTAAGCGAAAATGTATAATTTATGGTCAAATGTTTGTCTCACACATATGGATACAGACGAACAAAATTACTTGTTGTATCTAATTGATATTTTTTCTTATTTTTTTGAGTTTGGAATAAATTTAGCTGAATATGTAAGTATGTATGTATGCGAATAGAAAATGTTTTAAGTCGCATTTGACGAAATTATTCATTCAAGGTTCCTATTTACTATATAAGTATTATTGTATAATTACGATTCACACATATTGTTTCTATGTATGCATTTAGATATACATATGTTCATACATACATATAAACTATGTCCATATGTGCATGCATTTCGGCAACAATAAATCTCTTAAATTCATGCATAATTAAATTTTTCGCTGCAATATTCCGAGAAATCGAGTTGAGAACATTTTGATGATCACAAAATTACAAGCGGGCAAAATTTTTATTTCAAGTTTTTTTTTATTAACAAGCGAAAGGCTTTAGACATGTTTTTTCTAAAATAGCATCTACTATGAAGTTAAGGGATTATTTAAGCCGCGTAATTACGAACCACGAATCATTTCAAGAAACTAATTTTTCTAATAGTGCGCCTTAAAGTATGCTACAAAATTATAAAACTTCATGGCAAAACCGTACCAAGAATTACAACCCTATTCCCACATCACTGACAAAATTCATCGTATGACTATTGTCATAATTACTGCGCCTAAAACACAATATATATAAACATTGTTACGTCGTTGTCGCGCTTAAACTAAATTTGCGACATATTATTAGGCGCAGTAGTAAAGACAGGCTTTGAGTTTTGTTATTGACGTAGGAATAGGACCTAATCTAAATTTTGTGGTTTATTCCTAAGGCAAAAATATCACCGCTATACTGTAATCTGTCGTAGGTTCGATTTTGCTACGAATCGTAAAATTGGTATGCTGAAATCCGCGTTGTCGTATCGTACTGGTATGCCTGAATCCGACGTAGCGGTCAATTTTATGTATTCGTCGGAAATTTTGAACGAAGAGCAACTAGTGTCGGACCTAAGCAAATTGTTTTGAAATATCAATAAAATAAAGTGTGTTAACGCAAAAATATGTAAGTTAAAGAGTAAATAGAATCAAATTGGATTATTATTGAATATTTCGAACATATCAGGTCGAAGATCACAACAAATCGGTCGCAATACGAAAAATACATGAGTTTAAAGTTTTCGTCAATGTTTTTGAGAACGTAGATTGCGCCAACCCCACAACAAAATCTTTCCCCATCAACCGATAATGATTTTACACTTCGCCCAAGCTCTTCCTCCATAACTATTAAAACGCTTTTAAATGCATCTTTGCATAGGCGAAAATTTTTCACAAGCTAAATGGATCAGGACTACTAGCAATCTCCTTTGTATATTAATGCAACTCACGATGTAGAGTATGTATTCCATCATTCTTGAATGCAACTGTTAAGTTCTGAACACATTGAAAACGACGAGCTGCGGGCCACAGCATGACGACATGTTTTTTTTTTTTGAACGCGACAGCGACATCATGAATTTGTATGAATTTGACATAAAAGAAGAGGAAGAACCTTATCTGTCGCCGGCAAAATAGAAATAGATCTAATCTGGCCACAACCACAGCCGTCGCGTAGCCGGGTCGTCGCCAAAATAATTATTTGCATAAGAGTACGTGTTAAAATAATCTGACAGCTGTGGTCTGTAGCTCGTCGTTTTCATTGTGTTCGGGCTATTAGCTGCAGCATGTTCTTCCGCCTGAGATCAAATTGCTGCGGCTAACGACTAAACAAATTTTTTTAATTTCACTATTCACTTGCGATTATATTTATTTTGATTTGTTTCTGTCAAAGCCGCTGATTAAGAACTTAAAATTTCACGCTTTTAGCTGGCAGTGCCGTTGGTAGTTTCGGTCGGATTACAGCATACCAATTTTCGATTCTTCGGAACGGAACTACGAATTCGTAACTACGAAGATTCGGATTACAACATACGGGTGTAAGAGCCAAAATTTGACTGATATTGTTTTGAGCAAAAAATAGCCGGTACTTTTTGGTTTTTTCAAGCTTTCATAGTCACTTAGAGCTACTTTTGCACTTGAAATTTCCCGAAAGGTCACGAAAATTTTCTGAAAAGTGTCATTAAAGTCCCAACCAAATCTCGAAAAGTCCCGAAAGATCGCAAATGATAAAAAAAAATCCAGAAACATCCCGCGAAAATCCCTCAAAGTCTGGAAGAAATCCAGAAAACATCCAGAAGAATTCAGAAGTACGAAACACGACTAAATTCAGAAAAGCCCCAAAAATTACACATGAAAAATTTCAAAAATTTATAAGAATCTCCGAAAAATCACTTACATATGAAAAAATATCAGGCAAACCTTTCCTTAGAAAATAAAACATTAAAGGCCATGTCAGATAAGATTTGCTTTGACAGGTAAGATGAAATGTAGGAAAATGCATGAAACGCCAAGCGAAAATATAGCCAACTCCCTTCTTTATACGCGCGTTGGCAATCAGCTGGTTTAATTTGTACTTAAATACTAACGTTTTGCGTTTTGCTGTCAATCGAAGCGAAAAATTTTATCTGACACGGCCTTAATACACAGTACACGAAAATATTTTTAACTTTTACTAACCAGGCGCAAACTTTAATGCCTGCTCAAAACGGCGCGACACGATATAACGCAATACAATGCCCTGTACAGTCTGTGTCCCCATGTAGCGTGCTTCCAAAACATACACTGCCGTAAAAAAGTATTGGCACAGAGAATTTCTCACAATATATGTCACAGTTTCTCTTCTAATTTTTTCCGAAAATTCATGCTACAACAAAAAACATAAAAATATAGTTTCTAAACTCTGTGCAAAACTGGCGAAAATTCAATAAATTTTCAACTATTTAATAAGATTTTTTAGAATTTTTAATACAGTACAAGTTTGAGGTAGCTAGGATTTACCGTTGATTTTTGAAATTTTTTTGACGCCGTTTCTTCCATGCAAACAATAATTTTCGAAAACACTTTGTATGGAAAAAAATGCGAAACATCTTCAACAAAAAAAAATCTGAAAAATCAATGCGATTTTTAACTAATTTTAAACTTGCATTTTTAATATTAGATGGAAGATGGAGAATATTGAAAAGTTAAAAATTTGCATGAAAATTTATTGAATTTTCGCCAGTTTTGCGCAAAGTTTAGAAACTTTATTTTTATGTTTTTGTTGTATATTGAACCATACTTTTATAAAAAATTACCTGAAAAAAATAGAATAAAAATTGTGGTATACTTTTTTCTACTTTTTTCCGGCAGTGTACATATATCGTACTGTATTACATATACAATAATTCACCACGCTGGATTGAGCACGCTTTAATGACTGACGAAAACATTTAGTCTTTCTTTACGAAAACCGAAGCTTAGCAAAAATATACACGAATTTCAAAACTGAATACTGAATTGTATTTATTTGAGTATACATATGTATATATTTAGGGGATTCACAAGATGTCGTAAGGGTTAAGTGCCTGCGCGTACCCTAGACGCGTTTTAACTGTTATGTACGATTTAGGAAAAGTAAAAAGTAAAAGACATTAAACGCTAACGATTTCTTTCGAATCCTATAGTTATATTCTTTTTGTATTGTAAAAATATCCAAATATGTACCATGTTTTAATATTTGTGATTAATTCAAAAAAACCCTTTCAGTTTCTTAAGCCTTTGTTAGAGATTAAATACGTATTTGATGTCAAAAACCAATAATTCTTTTCTTTTTAACTTTCGGTCAATTTTCTTAAATTGCTAATAAAGAGAGCTATTAGCTTATTATATATTATATATATATAAGAGAAAACTCTTAAAACCTCTCGCGATTTCCTATTAAGTTTAGTAACTTTTTAGACCCCATGTTTTCCTTGGTACAATAAGGGTTAAGGAGGCTTTCCTAGAGTATTCCAGTGTACATCAATCGCAGATTGTGTTCATCAAATACATGTAGGTTAGTTTAAGTTATTTGGCTGCCTAAAATAATAAAGTATACACAGAGAACTTGGAAATTAAAACTGTGATTTGTTACGCCATTAAAGGGTTGGGGAAGAATGAAATTGTAATGGCAAAGTAGGGCGAACGCTGCGTGTTCCAAATAAAGCTCCGCTAACGACTAATAGCTATTCCCAAAACTTTATCAGAAGTGTAAATGAAGTGAGCGCCAAGATGTTTAAACTTTAAAATCGCATGTGCAGGACAACCATGGAACAGGTGGTGAAGTGATTACCTCATCGTTTTCCATGCAGCTGTTACAGTACGGGCTTAAGGTAATGTTCAACGATTTATTTTGGAACGAATTTCCGTCATCCCTTGTCAAGTTTGGTTTGCAGACAAACCGGTTTCGGCATTGTGCCATCTTCAGTGTAATTTTTCGTTCTGTTCAACCTTTAGGACAATTGCCAGTAAACCTCTCCCTCTCTAGAGATGCGCTTTATTTAGCTTTAAGAGATCCTGAGACGGCCTCCGATCTATCGGCGGTCAGAGGTAAATACTAAAGTTTTAGCCCAGCGCTCGGTGAATTGACTAGCCGCCCATCTTTCCATAAGCACACAACTGGCTACACACTCTTTACCCAGCGGCATACCATTAAAAAGGCGAGTGACTTAATTACCGCTTGCCTGTCGGAATATATACTCACATCCTTGGCTGGAATTACAATCGCTGGTAAAGAAGCAGCGGACTATTTTTTTTTTTAATATGGCGGCTACCTCCGGTTGATAAAAACTACGGTAATTTGGTAGCCTAAATTTGAGGTTGATGGAGTTTCTTTAAAAAATGATTTCCACTTTTACAAAAATTATGTAAAATTTTATAATTTTTAATTAGGTCATTTAGAATTGATGCGACGTTGTATGTAAATAAATATGAATACACAAAAGTAGTTTCCATTTTTTTACCGCTAAAATTTGTTGAAGGATTTGAACGTTAGTTTTTGTTTTGCGTGATCCAACATCTGGTTAACACTTTTAAACTAAAATCAAACTCTTATATGTAATAAATTATATAAACCTATTAAATGTAGATTTACATATGTATGTATATTGTAGTAAAGTACACAAAT